TATCTCTCCTTGCATTAATTATTACATATCAGAGGTGCTTCCAACAGGACATGAGATTCAGAGAGTTTTTTTTTCTGACAAGCGTTTTGAGGAGACTTTTTTTGGGGGGTAGATTTACCACCTATCACTTGACTTTTAGAAATATTGACTCAGGACGTCTAGTTTCCTACCCTCATTTTCTCCCTTGACGTCTCCTACTAGCAGGTGCAGGTATAGAAGTCTCACTGCCCACCTGTCTAAGTGAGAGGGCTAACCTGGCACTTTCTTGGCTGGTCATCTCAGCAGCTTTTGCCGCCTCCACTTGTAGACTTGCTCAGGACTCAACGGATGCTTTCCTTTCAAAATGTCAGTACCCACCTTCCCTTGCAATGAATATTCTGTCCCTTGATTCTTTCCTGAATTTCTACTTCTTAATGGTAAAAACGTTTCAAAGCGTTTTCCTGAACTGTGACCAAACTCAAAAGCATAAAGCTCTCGCAAGCAAACAAAATCAAATGCCTCTCCACCTGCACCCACGTCCGGAGAGTTGTTTTGTTAAATGGGTGGGTTGTGGGCAGGCACCCACCGGAGTGCTGCTTTTTTCCTGCAATGGCCACTTCAGCAAATTCTTTCTCTCTCTCTCTCTCTTTTTCTTTTTCTTTTTTGGTGGCTGGGCAGTGCAGGGATCTGAACCCCTGACCTTGGTGTTAACGACACCATGCTCTAACCAACTGAACTAACTGGCCAGCCCCATTTTAGTAAATTCTTAAGAAAGACATATGAGGTATGATTCTGAAGAAATGAGCCAGATCTTTTCCCCATGAATATACAAGGACATGTATGTCTAAGTAAATGCTATCTTCCAGAGCAATCCCTTTTTGATCAAAAGATTTACAGAGTGGTTTGGAAAACAGTTTTATCAGCCCTGTAAGAAAATCCATTTTATTTCCAGCTGGGATTCCTTCCCCTCCCTAAGAAAGGGGTCATTTATACCAGTTTTAGCCTGGAGGTTGAGAGGCAGAGACCTTGGGAAGAGGGCCTCTGGGGCCCGGCTAATGCTGGAAACCTGGGGGAGGCCTTCTGTGCCTCAGAAAGCAGACAGACTAAGTTTATCTGTGGGCTGCCCACCTGCTGTACGTGGGTATAATTGGCTGAGCATCATAAATAAGTGTCAAGTTGCTGGGAGTCAAAGCAGCCTGTTCCAGTAAACATTGAAAGTATTAATATTTGTAATTAGGACAAAATAAAGCACTGGAATCCACACATCCCTGAGCAGATTCTCTCTGGACTAAATGCAATGTTTGAGCTCTAATTCAGCATTTCCCAAAGTGTGCGCCACAGAACACCAGTTTAATGGATTATTAACAGTGTTCCCTGAAAAGGGGGTTCATTGGTCAAATGAGTTCAGGAAACACAGGGTCAAACACAGCTGAATAGCTTACTTCACAGCAAGACTTCCCAGAACCTCTGACTGTACCAGGAATCTCCATGAAGGGGCTAGAGACCTGGAATTGGAAGAGCACACTCTGGGAAGCATCATCCCAGACACGCTCGAGGCTCTGACCTCACGAGGCTGCTACTCCACGAGATAAAGTGTGGACCCTAACACTGGTCCAAAGGATCTGAAACAGAGAATGAAGGAAGAAAGGCTCTTCACCTAGAGCTAAGATTTCCTAAAAGTGTATCTGCTGGTAACACGGCTATTTCATGGCCATATCTCTGTAATCTAATCAGAGCTACTAAATGCCAAGGTACTTGGGCTTGAAGAATCATTGTTACAGCCTCTCTCCCCCGGTTAAAGAAATACGAAATGTCCAGTGCCAAGGGTGCTAAAAATAAATTTTGTCTAAAAGAGCTCATTGGTTGGTCCTGAAGGGGTGGTCGATACTAACAACATAATCACAATATCAAGGGCTGTTAATAGCCATGGAGAGAATTTAGATTTGTTGTGATGGGGTACATGGGGCTGGGTAACTACACACTTACATGCGTGCACACACACGTGCCAATTTTCCTTTCACCTGCATCTCTGTAACTGGCACTGCCACTCACTGATCACTCAGGACCGAGATCCAAGAGCACTCTGGTTCTGTTCCTCTCACGTCCAGTCTGCCCTAAGTCTCGCCAATCACACCTCTGAGTATTTATTCCTCTGTCTCCCTGTCTACTGCCACTTCCTTATTCAAGAACGCACCCTCCTCCACCTCGCTTGTGCCTCCTTCCGTCTGTCCTTTACAACACTATCAGAGTGCATTTCTGAATATGACTCTGACCGTGTCTCTACGATCCTCTCTTGGCTTTCCACTTCCCACGCAGAGCCAGCTCTGGCTCTGTGGATGTCACCTCCCCCCTCCCACACGACAGACACCACACACTGGTCACTGCACACGCATGCCCAGAGCTTGGGTGTGCCCTCTGTCAGCCTCGTCGAAACAGCACTCTTCACAGTCACTGCAAGTCACTGAAGGCTGCCCTTGAGACCCCGGTCCTAGAAGATAACAGCAAAATTCTCAACTCGGTGCTCTAGGCCTCCCAGGATCTGTGCTGCCTCCTCTTCCCTTGTACCTGATGACTTAGCCGTACTGAGCACGGTCTCCAGAGGGGGTCTGCTCTCCCAAACCTCCAAGGCCACCCACACCCATGCCATCGAGCACCATCACCTTGTCCACTGTCCTCCCCTCGCCACAGTCTGCTGGCAAACCCCCACTCTGCCCGCAAAACCTATGGGAAGCCCACTCCTGCCCCATCCCTCCCCGCCCCCCGCGCACACACCTCACTCTTACTAGGGACTTGTGTTATTCGTTTCTACTGCTCTTTCCAACTGTGCTCGAGGGCACTCCATTTTATTCATTTTTTGATACTTGCACAGAGACTGACACACAGAAAACAGTGCTTTTGAACACATGAAGAAAGAACTTTTAAAAAGCTACTCTGAAGAAAGGGTTAACTCATCGTCATAAACTCTGTACACTGTGTCCTCAGCTCAGGCTTATGGGAAAAGTGTGTGTGACAGTAAGGGACGAGACGGACTCCAAACAGCCCCAAGGAAGCAAGTGCCAAGCTTTGCTGTGCCTCTGGAAATCACAGTTTAAATGTGTCTTTAGTGAAAACCAATTTATCTAGGTCCTAACTACATACTGTCATATCAACTCCCCTGAAAAAGTCCAGGCATGGCATTGGAGGCTTGCAGTACCCTTTAAAGTTATTAATCCACTTTTCTTGGTCACATGGCCATTTTGATGGCAGACAGCAGGGGGAGAGGGAAAGAGAAGCTCATGCCTATCCTGTTCACTGGGCTGGGCCGTCAGCTGACATCACGCTATTCAGACCAGGAGGCCTCCTTTCTAGGTACTGGGGATAGAAGTGTTTACTAAAGTTGGTGCATTAATGAAACTGTCAAACTTATAAAGTCAAGTGTTGTCACAATCCCCAAATTCTAATCCAGACTGAGGTCTTTCTCATAATGATAAAAACAGAACACAATTCTTGATGTTTCTAAGAAGACACTATGGTTTGTGTGTCTGGTTTCCAGGATTAATCACTGTTTACTGAACAGCAATAAGAAATATCAAAGATTGCCCAACAGTTTCATCTCCACACAGACGTGGGCAGGTTCAAATCACCCTCAGTTTTTATCCTTTT